TTCCTCTATCCAGACATTTCCCCCAGCCTATGCAACTGCAGTGTCTTCCTAGTAATTCTCGTTGTTTCATTTCTCTTCCTTCTACAGACACTTTTCTAAAGCAGCCAGACTGATCATTTATCAATGTAGATCAGATCACGTACCCCTCTGCTCAGATCTTGCTGTGTCTTCTTATCCACTCAGCATGAAAGCCAAATTTTAACTTCACCTTAATGCTCTGCATGAGCTCCCCACCTACATCCTCTACTATAAGTTTCTGGTTTACTTCATGTCACCACACTAGTTTTATGATGATTTTTCAATAAGCCAAGTTGATTCTGACTTCAGATTTTGTATTTTATTTCTTCTTTGCTTAGAATTCTCTTCTCTCAATTCTCCATGAAGCTCATTCCCTTATTTTATTCAGAGTTCTGTTTATAGCGTCATCTGTGGAGAGAGAATTTCCTTGATCATCCCTCATATAGTTCTCTAGTCCTTGCCCTGCTTTATTTCCTACAAAATACTTACCAACTTAGCATTGTATTGTCCTATACTTGTTTATTAACTGATTTTTTGCTCCCTCAACTAGGACGTAAACTCTGTGAAGGATTTTGGCTAGCCAGTCCTTCTTTGTTTCCTCAGAAACAATGCGTTATGCCGAGTAGATGCTCATTAAATATGTATTGACTGACCACACTAAGGTATAAACTGAAAGAGACACCCCCTCCTTTAATGCATCACCCAGTCTCCAGGACTACAGTCTTTAATTTTAGTACCACTGGGCAAAATTTACTCAGATGACAGTAATTTTATTATATATTCAGCTGCATGTCTCATCTTTAATTTCAGGAGTAGGCTTAACATGTTTATATTCATTTTAAGAAAAAATATTTTCTATCATCATTTCAATAAAAAAAGATCGTAAGAGAATGATTCATTTTAAGTTAGCAGAGAGGATGGACAATGTGGCTCTAGAGTTGACGATGCTGGGTGTAATGTTAATCGGTTAGTTTCATTATCTGATAAACATAAAATATTAGCATATACATATGCTCACGTCCAGCAACATTAGTGTCAGCAGGCAAAGAAAACTCAACTTCTCACTAGAGGTAGAGAGAGAGAAAGTTTAAGTGTTAGTAACAGGTGTATGAGATTTAGTTCCAAACGATTTGAATTTTAGAAAGGCAAGCCAAAGAATCAGATCAGTGATTCTAAACTGGGAATGGTTTGCCCCCCCCCCCACCCCGGGCACATCAGCAATGTTTGCAGACAGTTCTAGTTGTCCCAGCGTGGAGGAGGGAGCCTTCGGCATCTAATGCGTGTAGATCAGGGGTCAGGGGTGCTGCTACCTTCCCACCATGTACAGGGTGGCCCTCCCTGACAAACTCTTCAGACCTAAATGTTAGCAGTGCCAGGGTTGAGAATCTGTGATAGACAGGACTGTAATTTTGAGTTTTTCTTTGGTTTAGAGCACAAAATAATTTGGATACTTTTTCAAAACTATGTTTACTCCTCTGTGTCTATGATCTCTAAGCTTCTAGCAGCTGGTGCCCTCTCACACCTTTCTTCTCTGACTCACGCAAACTCAAAGTGACTGCTCTTTCAGCTTACTTTCTGCTACTCTCCTTTAAGTATGTAACTCATAGATCAATTATTTAGTTCTGGAGACTCTGGGAGCCCAAGCTGACCATTTTTCTTCCTATGATGTTATTTAATTATTTCATTACTGATGTAGCCATTTTTTCACAGAAGTGTTTGTTATCTTCCCCCCCAAACAGAATATGCTCTAAAATGACTATAGTGAATTGATTAAGTAAAAACTGACTCAAGTTTTTTAACTTAATTGAGTAAACTGAGCCATGTTTATTGTACAATTATTTTAACTTTTCATGAAATGATGGAGTATTTTCTGTTCCAATAAGTTTAATATTTCTCTATTATTGGGGGGGGAGAAATCTCTGCTATTGAGAAACTGTTTTTGTTTCTCAGATATTAGTAAATGTGTTGACTTAGTCTGGCATAAATAGGGAACAGTATCTTTAGAGCTGGTACTCTAGCTAATCCCATGACTTTTATGCTAGCTTAGATGTAAGTTTGAACTAATAAAACTTGTGATGTCATATCACTTAATGTGTTACATGGTGTATTTAAGTATATTACATATAGTAGATTTTACTTAGTGAAAAAAAGTCCTGAGATTTGCTTCAGAGAGACCAAGATTAAATCCATGTTCAGTCATTTACTTGTGTGACTATAAGCAAGTTATTTAGCTACTAGGAGTCCTAATTTCTTAATCTAACACTATCTTATGGAATATTATAAAGAAAAATAAGATACTTGATGCAAAATGTCTCACATGGTCCCTGACACTCGAGAGGTACACAATAGAGTGGATATTGTTGTTAATATGTGAAAATTTGATTTTCTAATAAAACTGAAACGTTCCTAATTCTTTAGAGAATTTGATCAGGACCATTTGTACCATATTGTGGTTCATGTTACCATTTGATACAGAAGCAACATACCCTAAGGCATTTGTTCATTTAGTAAATAAAGGTTCATTTTGGGTTTTTTTTTTCCCCATATGGATACTGAGTTATTCAGGTTTCTATTTTGATTTGTTTTCCCCAAGTACTTCAATTTCCCCATTGGACTGCTTTCAACTTTTGTAAATAAATAAAAAATGAACTCATAGATGTGAATCTATTTCTGGTCTCTCCATTGTGTTTTATCGATTGTTTGTCTGTCTTTATGCCAAGATCAGACAGAAAAGATGTTTAAATGTGAGCAAAATTTAGAATTCATGTGTGTGAGAGGTGTTACATTTGCCATATGGTTCACCCAATTTTATTTAGGATTAAAAATCTGAAATCTAAAATATCAAAATGGCAGGCATTATTTTGATAACTGAGTGTATTAATGAGGATATGAATGAAAGAATTTTCTTAGGCCTCTTTAAGATAAACAAAATTTCATACAAATATTATTCTTGAATAAACAGTAAGCAACTGAAAGGCTGATTGATGATACTTGATATGTACAATGTTTTATTTGTTATTCTTTGTCATGGACCATTTGTAGCCATCAACTAAAATGTAAAAAAATGGAGAAAAGAGATTCTAAAAATATTAACCCCAATGGAAGACTTTAAAGGAAAGGAGAAATCCCTATCATAGTGACTTGCAGAAAATAAGCAACAATAAATATATGCTGGATGAACTGATACATGCATGAAAAAAGTGAATGCTCTTGAAATACAGGTTGCTCTGATCATAATCTATAATGTTATGATTGACATAATGGCTACTTTCATATAATGGCAAAGGCTGAACATCCTGAGATAATATGGCAATTTTAAGAAATATTAGATTTTGAAATGAGGTATGAATATGTACTGTGTTTATCCTTACCTCACCTCTCACAACTATATAAGGCAGTGTATATTCAAACTGTTCTATTTCAAAAATTTCTTCCTGTCTCTTTAAAGGTGTCCTATCTAAAAAAAAAATCCATCTCATACTGACTTATCTTTCCCAACTCACTTTCCCAACAGTTTCACACACACAAAAGCAACAGTTTTCTATAAATCTTTGGATGGTTGGCTAATTCCAAGTCAGTTAGGTGCTCACAGTGTGATAAAATGATAATGTATTCCTCTTTCTGAAGTTTGGATTTAGTTCAGACCTTGGAATGTGGAATTACAACAAAACAAATTTCACCATCTGGAGGTTTGCAAGTCGTAATATTTTTTACCTTTATTGTCACTGCATCTCTTTACAAATTCGTAGGTACGTGAGAATACACATGCACTGTTCCCTGCAGTTTGTCAGCACAATAGACATTTATGACAAGTAAATTGTGAAGAAAACATTTACAACGAATATGATTTTGATGATAAGTTGTAACTTTAAAGTAGAAATACAATTTCCCAGACATGTAATGTTTATATTACAGACTTAGGAAGAGACTTTTCTCATTTGAAGAATTAAGTGTGCGGACAGTTCCAGAGTAGCAAAACCCTACCAGCTACAACTGACTGCACCGCTGTAGAGCTCAACCCTATGGAAAGCCTAGCTTTTCTTCCCTAGCTGCTAATTAGCTTCCCAAGTTGCTAAAAAGCTGACTTACTGCACGTATGATGCCTCATAGACAAGTCTATACAACATCCTTGGCTAGTCATGTTCAGATACAGCAGACCTTCTAGCTAATGGGAAAGTTAGATGCAAGATGTCTGAAGCTTGAAATCAGTGAAATTTCGAAGCATAAATGTTGACAATTATTTCAAGGGTTTGTAAACATGAAACAAGAGCTTACCATTTGAAATTTTCTAATTGGCCCAAAGTCATTTTCCGAACAACATTTTTGGTTAAAATTTGGGAGGAGGTGAAGTTGACATGGGTGGAGTCTGCTTCAGGAAGAACCATCATTCCTAATTTTTGCTAAGAGCCTACTGAAACAGTTTAAATTCTATGGAAGACAATATATTTCCTTATTTCCTTCAGTTCTTCCAGTAGAAATCAGGAGTCATGGTGGTTATTCAGTTGGTCTGTAATTAAATTTTGTTTAAGTGAGTTTTCTGAGAAGACGCTACAGAAAATTTAGGACTTTTCAGATCAAGATAACAAAAAAGAGGACATAAAACAGCACTTGTATACTCCCATAGTAACAAGACTTTGCTTTTTCTGCATAACACTCAAACCTGAACTCTGGAAATCAAGCAATAGGGAGCACTTTCGATATTCCTTCATTAATTTCTGACAAAAGTTATTCACATGTTCATTCATTCAAAAAAATAATTGTTGAGTACTAACACAGAAGCTAATTATTAATTTCTGAAAAAAGTTATTCACATATTCATTCATTCAAAAAATAATTATTGAGCATGAAAACAAAAGTTCTTGGTACTGTGCAAATTGTTGGTAAGACAGAATAAGAAAGGACACCTATTCTCTAGGAGATCACCAACTCATACAGATTCCAAATTAGTAAATGGTGTTTGTAAGCATTTACTCTTGTTATAGGTGCTATAAAAAAATAATGCAAGCGCAGTGAACACAGTGAAGAAAACCTGGTCAATCCCTCTTGAGAGTAAGTTGGTGAAAGTACAGAAAGTTTCACAAGGAAATGAAATGAAATTTGCGCAGAATTTTAGAGAAACAAAAGGATTTTGGAAGATGTGATATGAGGAGAAAGAAATTTGAGAATGAAGAAATGCACATGGATACTTTGACAGATGATAAAAATGTAAGTTACAAAGCTAACACGTCCTTTTGATGTAATGTTTCTATAGAGGGTATTAATATGCAACCTAATTTGAAATATAGTATGCCCTAAATTAAAGTGTGGGGAATTATTGAAATATTTTTACTACTTTTACCTGGAGCCCATTAAGTATTAAGAAAGCAAAAATATAATCACATAATGTGGAACGCTCTACTGATGATTTCTGTGTGATTCCTCAGAAAAGAATTTTCCTCATGCATAGGTGTTAATAGTCTGATCACGTACTTTAAGAACAGAGAATCACATTTCTAACATGTTATTGAAAGCAATTGTGGGGTAGTTTTAGGCTATAATCTTCTGAAATATTGCAGGATTTCTTTGCATTAACCTGTGCACATTTGAGCTAATACATTTTGTTACTAGAATTTCACAGATCAAATTTACAGAGCAGTTTATATTCTCGCTCCCTCAGATTTACTAATTTAACAAGTGATTGGTTTGTTTTCAGTCATAACACATACATGTAACTGAGCTGTTTCCAATTTGGGAGGAAAAATGATGTCGTTTCTCAGAGTATAACATGAAGACCCTCGACTGCCAGGGTGAACAGCTGGATTTGTCTTCTTTCTCCAGTCCCCAGCCTCTTTCCCTGGTCTGTTCAAGTTTCCGGGGGTGAGGGTGGGTGTCGGTATCCAAACGTATCGCCTTGATGGCGGTGGTCTATGAAACTGGTGTGTTATCCTCCTGTACAACAGGTTCTTTGTTGCTGCATGTTCAAAAGATGGAGGTCTGCCATCACTGTTTAAGCATAAGTGTCTACAGAGATTCCCCTTTTATCACTCGCTTTCAACTATTAATGCCCTCTGAAAATCTGCGGGCCTTCAGCTGTGTGTGGGTGGGTCCTGCTCGAACTGCTTTCACTGTTGTCACAACAGACCTTTGCTCTTTCTGACGCTATTCCTGATGTGCTCTTGGTTTTCCTAAAAATATAAACGGATCATTGACATTTACAAGGGAAGGTTTAAGTGAATTAATATTGATAATCTAGCGAGGGATCCTTTTGATATTTTTAAAAATTCTGTGTTCTCAGAAAGCCTACTGAAGAATGAAAGCATTGACCACGAACTCTTTTTGGGGCAGTAGAGAACAATAGATAGAAGGCTTCATTTTTGGTGATGTGGGCTGATAGCAGAGTGTCTGGTCTCAGCCAGGCCCCTGCCAGCCAAATAAAGAGAAGTTGGGGTGGGGGCAACATTCATGTCTGAATCTGTAGATTTTTTCAGATGAGTAATTTAACTTCATAAAAGTGAAAATAGATAAGATGTAACCCTTTGCTCTACAGAAGCTTATAATTTAGTTGAATACATGGAGGAATACAGAGTAAAATGCAGTAAAATCCTATAGGTGGGGGAGGGATGGCTGACTAGTAGAGCAAAGTAAGTAACAAGGAAGGAAGGAAAAGGGCCCCAAAGTAGCACAGTATTAGTACAATATTAGTACATTGTTGGTACATGGCATTATGTTTTGGAAGCAGTGCTTTAAATTCTGTCCGGAAATACGGCATAGAGGATGCTATCCGTGCACTCCCAAGGTCCCCTCCACTGGACCAGTGTACCTTCCTCCAGCTCTTGACTGTTGGCTCAGAGTCTCGCCGCCCCCTCAGCCCGAGCACTGCCCTCACCTGAACTGGGACTGCCTCTGCAGGGAATTTTGCATCACAGCAAGATCCCAATGCCAGTGGACTCGGGGACTCCCTGCCCCTCTTGCCTCACGGTGGAAACCTCACTCTCCTCCTGCGAGCATTTCTTTCATACATCACTTTTAACATAATGACCATCTAAGTAGCTCTGCTTTTTGGAATCCCACCTGCCAGAATTTATTCTTGGCAACAGATGATAAGGACAGGGTCTGAAGGAGTCATTTGCTAGCAGACTGGCAATAAAAGCCCCAATAAGGAAGATAAAGTTGTCAGTAGACCCTGGGATGCTGTGACAGTGACTGCTCAGACTTCTACCAGTTACCTAGTACAGGCTGTTTATGGAAGGGAATTCACTCACTGGTGCAATATTTCTAATTTTTCAGAGGCATAATGTAAATAGTAATGATAAGGACTGTGGAACTTGATAGCTGTTGCTAAGTTTAAAGAG